ATTCTGATGTTCAGTTTGAACTTCAGCAGGTTGTCTTGACTGTGCCTCCATGCTTAAATGCATTGAGTTGCAATCATGCGATTTGCATCAATGAGCAGTGGAACAGGTGTACGTAATAAAGTGACGGGTAATTTCATGCAATAGCCCTAGTACTGGAATCATATTAGTTTGGGACATCTCTTATTATCATCAGTGCATTTAAAATGTCCCGAGCCTCGACTCTGACATTCTTCTGTGTTTACAGGAGAGAGACAAAGTCATGCCACTGATCATCCAGGGATTCAAAGATGCATCAGAGGAGGCAGGGACGTCTGTAACAGGAGGTCAGACGGTGCTCAACCCCTGGGTAGTGATGGGAGGAGTTGCAACAACAGTTTGCCAGCCCAATGAGTTTATCATGTAGGAATGAGTTCCTGCTGCATATTTTGCTGTTTTTTGCTTCCTTGGGTGCCTTAAAACAAGCTTGACGATGCTGTGTCTGACGTTTTTCAGGCCAGACAATGCAGTGCCAGGAGATGTGTTGGTGTTGACCAAACCACTTGGAACACAAGTGGCAGTTGCAGTGCATCAGTGGCTAGATATTGTAAGTCTGCCAACTCGTTTCTGAATAATTTTGTTAAAAACCTGTTGTTTAATAATAACCAGTAACATCACTGCCTATTTATGCTTTCTTTGTGTCTCTGAAAAGCCTGAAAAATGGAACAAGATCAAGCTGGTGGTGACGCAGGAGGACGTAGAGCTGGCCTACCATGAAGCCATGATGAATATGGCTCGGCTCAACAGGACAGGCAAGACCATTAAGAGCATGTGACCTTTTCTGCCTGCCTAAACTTTTGATTATTCTCGGTTACATTTTAACAATAGCATTACCGAGTATGTGGTTCTAATGACTTTGTTTTCTCTAGTAATTATTTGTTAGTAAGAATGTAATGAGTATTATTACCCATTAGATTCTATTATATTACTAGTTGACATTATTGCATCCAGATTACTTGAGTGTTTGCAGATTTTTGGCAATAAACAAATTGATCATCATGATGCCTTTCTTACTGTCTTTTGCTTGCAGCTGCGGGTCTCATGCACACGTTCAATGCTCACGCAGCGACCGATATCACAGGGTTTGGCATCCTCGGCCACGCTCAGACGTTGGCACGACAACAGCGAAGTGAGGTGTCTTTTGTCATCCACAACCTCCCGGTGCTCGCCAAGATGGCCGCCGTGTCTAAAGCCTGTGGGAACATGTTCGGGCTCATGCATGGCACCTGTCCTGAAACATCAGGTGTGTGCGTGTGTATTTTAATGTTTTCAAGACATTGAGATTTTACCAAGGAATGCATTGAGGAATGCAGTAAGTTCTGGAAAAAGATCTTAGAAAATGAAAAAGTGTAACTAGAGGCAGCTCAACTGAATTTTATGTGCCATCAGTAAGGTAAAGCCACTTCTCACTGTAACTGATTTTACAAAAGACTGTGGTTCTGTTATTATTAATCAGCTTCTTTCTCTTTCGGGAAAATTTGTTTGGGGATGTGAATTGAGAGTTTAATCTCCTAACAATTAGGTAGCTAAATAAGTAAAGCAGCAATAATAACAGACCATAATTGGTTGATGTTCGGGGAGAGAAGCAAGACATGTTATAAAAATTTTACATTTTGATGTTTTGTCTGATTGAAAGTCCTGAGATTGTAACTATTAAAGGTTGAAATTTGGCTGAGGTTCAGCTGTCCTTCTGATTTATCTTTTAAGCATATCAGACTTTATAGGCCATTAATTTCTTCAAGACAGTGTTGGAAGATGGCAAGCGTGTGTAATTGAGGCAGTTTGATGAAGGCGCGCATCTACAGTCACATAAGTGTCTTTGCTTAACTATGTGGAGATGTTACAGAAGCCGAAGAAGTTGTTAAATAATCTACAGGAACTTGAGCGCATCAGTTAAAAGATCTATCTTTGTGATTAGTTTATCTGCTTAATGTTTCATGCTGTGATCAACAATCTGCAGCAGAATTGATATCAAATCTGTTTTCACACATGCACTTTATGCATTAGAGCTGTGTTTTTTTGTTTTTTAAAAAAAGTCTGTTATATCCAGTTGGGCCCATGTGAGAGTGGTGCACATCATGGAGAATTTGCAGAAAGCCAGTGGATGTCATACTACCTGCAGGCAGTATTTCCAATAGTGAGAACACCTCAGGCACCGATAATCTCCAGCTGTGTGCTACATGCAAGAAATGGCAAATTTGGACCTTGTGAATTTGTTCATGTATAAAAATGCCTTTAGAGTTATCTGTAAGAAGGCCGAGTACTCCCTAACAGTGTCATATTCTAAAAATGAGTGATTTAATTAGACTTAAATCTTCATTTAAGTCACTTGTCTGACAACATCTCCTTTCATTTCTAGGAGGCCTGCTTATTTGTTTACCTCGAGAACAAGCTGCCCGCTTCTGTGCCGAGATCAAATCCCCAAAATACGGAGAAGGTCATCAAGCATGGATCATCGGGATTGTAGAGAAAGGAAACCGCACTGCTCGCATCATTGACAAACCACGAATCATAGAGGTGGCACCACAGGCGGCCACACAGAATGTCAATCCAACACCTGGTGCAACTTCTTAAACATCCTCTGTTGCATCACAGACCGGACCCCAAAAGCTCTGAGTGATTTTAGACACATAAACTACAGAACCATCCTAGAGTGTTGAAATATATACACAAATAGTATGTACACAGAAAAGACTGGGTTGGCGTGCCATCAACATGAAAACAGCTCCACACAGTGGCCCCGTGGGGGCACATCACTACCCAGTGGACTCCACCTGCAGTATCCCCGCGATAAAAATTGGTAAGAAATAGAGCATTCTTAAAATCCACTTGCTTTTGTTGTCTATTGTACTCTGTTATGTTCAGTGTGCTTGACTGGCAGGCAGCTTCTGATAGGAGATAATCTGATACTGCTGATTCATTTTGAATCATTAGGAAGTCTGGAGTCGGTTGCCTCTTTGGCTCTCTTAAAACTGCTCTCATCAAACCATGGTGGCGTTTTTGTTTATTGTTCATTTACTTTGTTGTACAGTTATACAGCTGAGTTTTAGTTCATTGTTGTAACTGATGCCTTGAAAGAAAATAAGTGCGACCAGAATGGCTTGTTTTTTATTACTTTGACTTTTTGTATTGTCCCTGCATAAACTAATAAACCTTGATCTATTTGAAATTTGGTCTCACTTGTGTGGATAAACTAAATCAAATTGGCCATGTAGTTACAGTGTAGTTACAATTTTGAACTAAAGTTTTATAAAAAACAGATACTTCTCTAAAGTGGTTTCTTATTGTTATACATCATCGTGTGGTCATAGATACATTAATATCTGCAGAACCCTCCGGAGATGGACTGTAAACCATCTGCATTTTCATTATGTCATGTTTAACATAATACAAAATCGGAATGTTATATGAAAAACTGCCTAAAACTTCTTTGTTAGTCCACAAGTACAGGATCTTTTTTTTTTTTTTTTTTTTTTTTTCCCTCATCATTGCCAGAGTATGTACGGCAAGAACGCTGATTTAAAGTGAAGCTTCCAGCTGGTCAAAGGTCAGATAGCAGGGATAAATCGGGAAGCTCTCTGTAAAACTTCAGGAACATGTCAAAATCCCCTTTGCCACCTCTTAAAATAAACTTCTCTAATAAAAAAAAAGTTTTTCTGTGTCTGTCGTCAATGTATTTAAAAGCACAAGTACTCATTTTATTCTGTAATGAATAGGAATACAAAACTGTGCAAAAATCTTGAGTCACTATTCATTTCTTCATATTTTGCAAAGAAATTGTGAAATGGCTGCAGCAAGTTATTGAAACGTTCAAGAATTAATCTGAATACAGTAAACGAGACAGAAATAGAGTTTATACAAATGTAACAAGTTTGAAAGTCAACATTTGGTATGATCACTTTTATTCTTCAACACAGCATGAACTCTCTTAAAGTTTGTTGTAATTCCTTTAAGTAGTCTTCAGGAATACTTTTCCAAGCTTCTTAAAGGACATTCAAATCTCTTCTTTAGATGTTGACTGCATTCTGTTCCTACACTGCTTCAATAATGCTGAGATCTGGACACTGGGGAGACCAATTCATGAGTGGTAGTGCCTGCCCACCAATTCTTTTATACAATAAAGACATGAATTTCAGATAAGCTTTATCTGCTTTGGATAGTTTTTATACTTTATTTCTGTCAAACTGTGTTTTCTTGGGCAATTTTTGTAGATTTACATACAGTAATGGGAAAAAATTGCATGTTTTTGCAACAAAATGTTAGTAACAAAATGCTTTAATATGATTTAATATTAGTTCTTTGCTAACTTTTCTGTTGTATGTTTACACAACACTGGTTCACGGCTCGACTTAGGCGTCTTCTTATGCTTGAATGAATCATACGTCAGTTTTATGTCGCTTAACACCCCCCCCCCCCCCCCCCCCCCCCCCCCAAAAAAAAACAAAAAAAAAAACCCAAAACAAAGACTAGTCTGTACAGAAACAGTGAAAAAGCAGCCAGTGTCCACAGAAAAACTTTGAATGATCTTCAGAAATCTTTCGGAGCTCAAGACTACTTAAAGTAATTACAAATACACCTGGGTCCTTGGAAGCCAAATATAAAGAAATTAGGGCTGGTTTAAGACTTTTGCACAATACTGTATGTCATCCACAAATTTACCAGTATGATGAACTATTTTCTATTGATTTGTATTCATGGAGCAATGCTTGCACAAGAGTTTAAGGAGACAATTCACTCTCCTGAACACAATCTCCTAATTTTGACAGCAAATTTCCCACAGCTCTCACTAAGACCTGTCAGTGCATTGCTGCTCTGTCATGCCTCTTTCAGTCCCTACACTATGTCATATATCTGTCTATCTATACACACACACAGCTGATGTAATCATTTCAAACTGAATTTTCCAATCTTCCACAGCAGTGCCACAGAAATCACTGATGATGACTGCACTAGTTATGCATTAGTTGCATTTAGTGTGTTATATTTTTAATCACTAATGACAGCCGCCTTAAAATCAACAGCAAATTCTTAAATACAGGCACATAACAAATAATTTAGATCTGCAAATACAAGAACACATTGGCAGATATATTTACAGCTTTCATAAGATCATGAATAAATACATATTGTAGCTTTATTTACATTACATTGGATTTATATACAGTGAGGGTGGTATGTGTATGTGAGGAACTATTGTGTAAAAAGAAATACATTTCTTTATCCCGGAATATAAACAGGAAAAACATAGATGTGTAATAAATATTGTTTTTGTCTGAGAGGAATGCCAAGCTCCTGTGCTGTGACTCACCACAGCAGCCCAACCTGTCACCAGAGCCTTGTTTTATTTTTATGAATGAAGACTGAGTCACAGGTTGTATGTGCTCCAAATCCAACATACCCTGCCACACTCTCTGTTATATGTGCTTTTTCCCATTTTCCAGATGGACATACTTTGCATTCTGTGCTGTCTTATCATTTTCAGGCTTGAAGAGAGCTTGGATGTCAAGCATGGCCTTTTGAATATGCTGACCAAACCGATATGAGTCCTGTAGGTCAGACAGAGAAGGAGCAATCAGAGCAAGAGATAAAAACAGGAAGAGTTGGATCTATAGTATGCAGTGCTCTTTTTTCTGTCTTACTGTGTCAGGACTGGAGAACTTGCTGGAGATGTGGAATGTGATGAGGTTTTCCCCAACAATGATATAAGACACACCGTAACCATCGTCAGCTACCTAAAAAAGATAACAAAGAGACGCTGTTACATTTCACATAGCCCTCCTTGATCAGGCCAGCAGGTAAGAAAGCTATGACTGTAACTTTTTGCACATGTTCATATTGCATCAAATTAACTCACAGGGCCAAATCCACCCCCACCACACACATATTTCGGGAACTTGTTGATGTCAACTAAATTGAGCTGCTGCTGTGGAGTCTGACTGGTGGACAACTTCCAGGGCTCCGAAAGCACCTTTAAGCATTACGCAAAGACAGTGAATTTAGTTTGGAAAAGAGCATTATACAACAAAAACACATTAAAAACACATGATAGATAATAGAGCTAACCTTAGTAAGAAATGGTGAGTCAACACCAAGGTATTTAGATACTATATAGAGACAGAAAAGGTGACGATCGATCCCAGAACCAGTCATGGCCAGACGATACATGTTTTGGTGCTTTTCTGCTGCTTTCCGAAACAGGGCAAGTCTCTGGGCATTCTGACAACATAAACAACAGGCAATGTAGTTTCTAATATTTCTAAATAAATAAATAAAAACTGCATTAAAATAATTTTTAGATTTCTTTATCAATGAAGGAAAGTACCAGCTTGACCCTGTCAGAACATCCAAGAGCTTAAAGTCCAGGGCACTGACACACATTACCTCTAGGTCTTGGTCACCATGGTCTTAGTAGAACAACATGTTCTTTAACAATGTGACCCATCGGAAAATCTAAAACTGAGTACATGAACGTCCCGTGACTACAAGATAAACATTATAAACCACATTAAGTCCAAAGTTGTTGTCTATTTTTATTAAAAACTTCTCCATTAAAATGCCTTTGACCTGTGATTCTCTTTATACACACCTGTCGAGCAGCTGAATGATATGACCTTTTTATTTGTTGTGGACATGGTTATTTGTTTTGCCTACCGTCGCACCAGCGTCCTCCATGGCTCTGACGAATGCAACCGCCTCAGAAGTGCAGGAGCGCACTGTCTCTGTCCGCCCATCTCTGAACATACGTGTCATCGATGATTCGTACGTCAGACAGAACACACGCTGGTCCTATAAAGCAAAGAGTTATCTATTAGTTGATGGTTGTAGATACATTTAAAGAAATGTCAGTGATTCTATGAACTATGGCAGGCCTACCCTAAACTGGGCCAGCTGCAAGGCCAGCTGAATAAAGGCATCAGGGCTTGTTCTGCACTTCTTGATCAGGCCTTTTCCAAACTCAGCAAACAGATAGCCATGGAAGTCCACATCATCAGCTATCTGCTTGGCTGAGAGGTATGACGTTTCAATGACATTTTGGCACTTAGAGAGGGTAAAAGAATATCCTAATTAGTTTGTGTACAGATCTAAAACACCATTAAATTAAAAGAAAAAACTAAAAACAATACTGGATATAAGAAATAAATACAAATTTTTCTATACCTCATTTGGAATCTGCCATTGTATTCGAGTGGGATGAGGCAGGTTTTTGTTCACATCCCCTTTACAATGTCCCTCCTCAGTGTATCCAAGATGGAAGCAGTCTGTTGATAGAATATACTAAAAAGAAAAAAAAATGCAGCTGAAGAAAATTTGCATTCTTTGAATCATTATTTTAGGATATTTTCAGAACACTTTTCCTACCTCCCACATGTGTCCTACAATTGGTGCATCAGCCCAAGAATGTTCAACATTTACACCCATTTTTCCATTTGGATAAGAGATCAATGTAAAAGATTTGTCAAACCACCTGCAAGAAAAACCCCAACTTCTTTTAGGGAATCAGTTTGGTCAAAGTCAATAAAAGGCTTGGTCTTCTTTGCCTACCTGTCATAACATTTTCCATGCAGCAGGGACTTGGCGTAGCTATCAAGTGAGTTGGTCTTTGCAGGATCGTAACCCTGCGGCTCATCATCCAATGTCAGGAAGAAGGCAGCTGACTCGATTGCATCCAGGGATACTTTGTTTATGCCCTGGCTAAAATATTTTATCCGAGCCTGAGCCCATGGAACCCTAAGGGTGAGAGTGAGACTGTTTCCCTTTTCTGCTGAAAGTGTTTGAACATTTAACCTGCTTACCTGCTTTTTTAAGGTGTTTTTTGTTTGTATATACCTGTATCCTGCTGTCAGGGCAGCTAGTTTGAGCTCTCCTGGTTGAGGTTCTGATGTATCATTGAGAATCCTTTGAAACTGTGTTTCAAGTTCACTGGGCAAAAGGTGACGGCCTCCAGTGTAAAGCCACACCTGGAAGAACCGACCCTTGTGGAAGACAACCAGGTGTTTCCGATCAGTCAGGTGCTGCACAAAATCTGTAAAGATTGTTAAGCCAGTAAAAAATTCGATTTAATTTAAGTTACACACAGTGACTTACTGAAAGCACAGCATCAAAGATATGTCCCAGTAGCTTTACAGAGCGATGGAACCTATTTGCTGTGAAATCATTAATAGAGATGTACCCACTAGTGCTGCATACTGGACAATGGGAAGTATCTTATCTGTGACTGATGATTGAGCACTCATACAGTACAGATCTAAACATTTGCTCACCTGTTTCAATGCCAGGAATGCGAGTGGTGTTAAACATCCTCTCCATCTGAGTAGAACACATAGGAACAGTCCCCAAAGCCCTCAGCTGAGCAGAAAAAGTTAAATAGAAGTCAACACAGAGTTTAACCTTGCAATAAAACGAGAGAAAAGAGTAATTGTAATGGCAAGCTATACCGGTGCAAGTTCACCACGTTCCAGTTTGCGTCTGTATTGCAACATGGCATGTACCACATTTCCTGCTCTTGCAGCCTGACGGTGTGTTGGGGTCACGTACAAGAGGTCCTTCACACAATAAATGGAATGACCAAACACAACAAAGTGACAACACAAAACAGAGAACAAACACAGATAACAGACACATTTATTTGAAAAGTTAAAGATGACGTGTTTAAATTATTTAAAATAAATTATTACCTCATTCCCATTACTAACAGAAAAATGAAAAAACGCTCAACTGATGTACTGACAGTTTTACATACCATTATATAGAAGTTACTGTTGACCATGATAGGACTCCTGCCCCTGAGGTAAATGTACTCCTCCCACCAGTCACTTACCTGGAGAAAATTACAGGTTTTTATTGTCTATCATTACAATTCAAGACAATTTCAGTAGCATGTTAGACAGAAAACACTACTCACATAATTTGTTGCCCACCATGATTTTAAGATTAGGCATCTCTGCAGTTGAGCTGCTTTGTTTTCTTTAAAATCACTGGCCAAAAGCTCCATTTTATTGTACTGCTCATTGTCCAGCAGAGGTCGAACTGACTCAAGGTACTGTAAAAAGAATATCATACGCAGGGAGTAGTGTTACATAGAAGCAGACGTCACGTAATAAAATGACTTCTATTTGCCCAACATCTCTAAAATTAGAAATATCCTGTCTCAGAGTGATGCAGAAAAACTAGTACATGCATTTATTACTCCTAGGCTGGACTACTTTTTACTATCAGGAAGTCCTAAAAACTCCCTGAAAAGCCTTCAATTAATCCAAAATGCTGCAGCAAGACTGACAGGGACTAGAAAGAGAGAGCATATTTCTCCTGTTTTGGCTTCCCTTCATTGGCTTCCTGTTAAATCCAGAATTGAATTCAAAATCCTGCTCCTCACATAAAGGTCTTAAATAATCAGGCCCCATCTTATCTTAATGACCTTGTAGTACCATATCAACCCATTAGAGCACTTTGCTATCGGACTACTTGTTGTTCCTAAAGTGTTTAAAAGTAGAATGGGGGCCTTCAGTTTTCAGGCCCCTCCCTCTGTTGAACCAGCTTTCAGTTTGGATTCGGGAGACAGACACTACCTTTACTTTTAAGATTAAGCTTAAAACTTTCCTTTTTGCTAAAGCATATAGTTAGGGCTGGGTCGGGTGGTCCTGAATCCTCTCTTAGTTATGCTGCAATAGGTGTAGGCTGCTGGGGGATTCCCATGATGCACTGAGTATTTCTTCTTCAGTTACATTTGTCACTCACTATGTGTTAATAGACTTCTCTACATTGAATCATTAATTGTTATTAATCTCTATCTCTCTTCCACAGCATGTCTTTTATCCTGTCTTCCTTCTCTCTCCCCAACTGGTCGCAGCAGATGGCCGCCCCTCTATGGTTCTGCCGGAGGTTTCTTCCTGTTAAAACAGAGTTTTTCCTTCCCAATGTTGCCAAAGTGCTTGCTCAGGGGGTCATTTGATTGTTGGGGTTCTCTCTGTACGTATTATTGTAGGGCCCCACCTTATAATATAAAGTGCCTTGAGGCAACTGTTGGTGTGATTTGGTGCTGTATAAATAAAATTTAATTTAATTTAATTAACAAAACATTGACATATCAGTTGAAAGGTATAACCAGAAATTCTGGAAGACATCCAAGACAGCTTTTCTGCAAGAGGACGTGCCAAGTTCTTCCCAAAAACCTACTGAAAAACTGTACACAATTTGAGCAGGGTGCAGGAAGGCTGCTGGAGCAGCATAGGTAGTATTTTTATACCTGTGCTTGGTTAGTCTAATAGGTTTTTGTATATCAACTGAATTATTGACAAGAACTTCAGCTGGTATAGATTGAGTTCAGTGTGAGTTTAGATTCAGGAACTGATGGAACAACAATAACTAAAAGCTTCTATGCATAAAAATCTCAACTACTTGTAATGATGTCCAGACCACGTTTCTATGTTTTTAGAAAACTATGGGAGCACAAATAAGATATGTGTTTCTGATCATGCAAATCCATTACTGTAACTACATACCCTGTGAATTGTATCATCCACACTGGGCACAGGAAGCCTGGGTAAGGAGGCCTGGAAACTGTAGAGCAAGGGTCTGCGTCCAGAAAACATCTTTACCAGGCACTGGTAACAAAAAATAAACAGAAAAAGAAAAAAATCAGTGAAGATCCCTTCTCTTTAATGACAGAACCAAAAAGTCCCAAATGAAATAAGAGTCATGCCATGAATGAAAGTGAGACGAACATACCAGCCACACTTTAGTTGATGTACTCATTTTTCCATGGGACTCAAAAATCCATCCATGATAGGACAGAAGAGCTTTAAGAGTGTATCTCAGGAGGTAGATGAGGAACAGCCACAGTCCTGTGGCAAACAGGATGGCACTCAGCACTGCTCGTGTCTGTACTGACATACAGTCTCTGCTCAGAAAATGCAAAACACCGCCTTTGTCAATAACGACATAAAAACAGATAAATGACTCAAAATAACCGCATCGCTTGTCCAGTAAAGTCTAAAGGTCAAGTGAAATACTTCAAAACTGGGCTTTGTGGGATTACTGACCGATATGGTAGGTTTTCCTTGATGGTATCCATCATTCCCATAGACAGGTCTATGTGGATATATAAAGAGCTCATCATGGCAATTACAACTATTAGCCAACTGGAGGGACTGGCAGGGGAGACTCCTGCCAATACACCATTCTGTGGATATAAAATACCACTATTGGTTAGTAACAAAAGGTCTCTCCTTTCAGTTTGGATATTACCATATTAAGTGCCAGTTTTTGTACCTTGAATTGAATGGCTTTCTTCTTCCATGCTGTCACTCCTGATAGGTAGATATTTTTGATGACTTCTTGGCTCAGTTTAAAGTCCACACCATCTGGGCGCACAGTGAACTGGAAGCCTACCGCCTGATGTGCCTCAGCCATCTCTGTGTTCTGCTAACATGAACAGCATTGAGAACTTATTACATTTAAAAAAAAATAAAAAATACAGTGGTCTATAATATTTTATAATATCTCCTAATAAAAAATACACATAATAAATTAATGTTAATTCATTCAGGATTACAGAGACCAAAGTGGTGCCCAGAAAACAAATTTATTTACAATAAAATGTATCCATCCATTCATCCATCCATCCATTAAGTTTCTTACCCAGTATAACTGAAAATGAATATAAAAATTACTGTACTTAGAACTACGACCCTCAACTGTTTTGCTGGCCAGCTGTCCCTGTTTTTAAAAGGGGCTATTGGGGAGACGTTGGTAGGAAGTAAAACACTCCCAAACAATTAAAAAATAAAAATAAAAGAAGAAAAATAAAGAAGGAAAATTTAAAAAATAAATAAATAAATCAGCAAAAACCACACCATAAAATTATTTAAAAAATGTAAAATACTCCTACTGGTGATGTAATGCCTTAACTAATAGTTTATCCACTAAAATGTTTTTGTTTTTTTGGGTTTTTTTTTTTAATGACAGCTACAAATGTTTGTCCTACCAAGATCTTAATGTCCAAAATGCATACCTTTTGTTGTTTAAAGTCCCACACAGGCCTAGAGGGTGTCGGCACCTGTCTTAACCACTGGATGCCAGGTAAAAAATGAAAATCTGAATAGTGGTTGTTAAAGGTTTCAGAGATTTACGACTTCATGGTGATAACACACTCTAAATTATTTTCCACAGAAAAAAGAAGCTATATCTGTAAAGATCCCAATTTTGAATCATGCCTACTTATTACTAGTCCATTGAAAGGTCGTCACTGAGAGACTTACAGACTGATTTTCAGCACTTGCCACTGAACTCCCTCATCATTTCCCTCATTTCTTTCCCCATTGGGCCATGCCCAGGTTTGACTAAACATTGGGTATTTCATTAACTGTTGTCATACCACAGTTAACCTCAAGAAAAAAAAAAACAATCTTTCACAGATGTGACTGACGGCAGTTTTAAAGAAAGCGGCTCTATTTGTCCTGTTTGCTCATGTGATAAGGTGGGTCACTGGCAGAAGTTTAACAGGTGTCTAAATGCAAAATAAATACACTGAAGGTTGAAAGGGTTCAGTCTTTGTCTGAGAAATACGATGACCTTCCTTAATTCTTAACAAAAATATCAGGACTTCCCATAGCAGTCCATATAATGGTTGGGGGCAGCAGGTCTAGTATTTCTTTTTCCATGTCATATGACTGAACAGTCACCAAGTGGGACAAAGTTCAGTGGCCAGATATAGTGGTACACCGGCTGAGCATGTGTGCAATCCGCAGACGGGCATGGAAATATAAACACAGAATACAACACGCAAATGTGTGCAAACCTACTGGTATAATTTAAGATTTAGAAAAGCTCTGCAGCTTTGTTAATATAGAAAATTTTCAAAATCTCGCAGATATCTAAAGATTTTTGTCTGTTATTGAAAACCCTCTTATAATATTCCAATTTTAATGCCCAAGCAAAATTTTAGCATTACACTTAGAAGCAATCAGAAGAAAAAAAAAAGCAAACATGCAGAAATGAGCAAAAATAACTTTACCTTTTTAGGGCAGTGTGAGCCTAAACCAATGGAGCAAAGAAAAGCTATGACTTTGGTTTGTGTCAGTGAGGCAATGAATTTCTTCTGAGCTCAGGCTTATGTGCTCTGTGCCCTTGGAGTGGCTTTCGTCAGGTTGTGGTCAAGTTTGTCCTTTCCTGTGCTTTACACACCTCCCCACCACCATCCTCGGTTTCTCTCTCTCTCTCTCTCTCTCTCTCTCCCATGTCATTGTAACAAGACACCAAACAGAGACAGAGCCTAACTGGCTACGTAACTGAATCCGCTGTAGCGCTGTGTTGAGAAGTAACAGAGAGCCATGTGACATTTCACCTACTTAGAAGTACATCTCTGCTATGGCACCAATAAATAAATAAATAAAACACTGTAATACCAGTTTTATATTTGACACCGATGAGAATGGTTAAAATGGTAAATGGTAAATGGCCTGTATTTATGTAGCGCCTTACTAGTCCCTAAGGACCCCAAAGCGCTTTACATATCCAGTCATCCACCCATTCACACACACATTCACACACTGGTGATGGCAAGGTGGTGATGGTTAGTAGGACTTGAAGGTGTTAATCAAGGCAAGAAAGGTATTGCATTGTATATACTGCATTATTTTAATGTAAACAAATCAAACATTCAACATAGCGGGGTAAACTGGTCTTACATTTTAGGAAATATGAACACTGGACAACATAAGGACTGGGAAGTGATCTAGAAGTACTTGGGCTATTGCAAACTACATTCAGCCCAAAAGAACCTGCACACAACATATGTGTGCAAAGATGCTAACCATAGCATTAGAAATGAAGATAAAAGGTAGCTTCATAGCGAGTGAAGATGGGTAGAGGAGGGAAAGCTTTGAGGGAGAGTGTTTGGAGGTCCATGCTAACAACAGTGTTGTGCTCAACACTTGGCATCATCAGGATCTGATCACCAGCCACTGTCCCCTGACCTGCAAATGCCACTTTCTCAGCGCTGTAAACCTGGGGGGAAAAAAGAGCATTATCAACAATTTAAATGGAGTGAAAAATTACTTTGAATGAATATGTTATTTAGGCATCCAGATAATCCAGTGCTCTTCTAATATGAGTGTGGGTTTGTTGATTGTTTACCGGCCCCCATTTCTGTGACTCCGCACAGAACGAGGTTACCACATTCTCTGAGTTGTTGCCACCAATCACAAGCAGCCTGTCTGTGGCCCCCAGGAAGTAAAGTGTAGGGAGATCTACGCTGGCTCTGGTAAGGGTGGGAAGCAGTTCAGACCATACATCTAATAGAGAAAGAAAGAATTCAAAAGAACCATTTATGAATCAGTGTACAGCTTGTAAATGTAAATCTAGAGCCGGTGAACTATACCGAAGGCATTTTCCAGACAGCAGCACACATAAGAGTGAGCTTTCTGTGCTGGAAATAAAACCAGGTTTCTTTTGCTGAGCTTGGTTGCTTTTTTCCAGATGTATGCACCTTTCTTTGTGTTGTACTGCAGTAACAACTTCTCTCCAGTCCTCTGGATGCTCCCCAGCACATAGATACACTGTCCAAGGGTCGTAGCAAGAGGAACATCATGGGACAAAGACATGGTGAACTGGAAGTCAGTGAGTGGCAATGAGGACACAAACCTGAGGCAGAGATTATACCAATAACTAAAGGAAGCTTTTTTTTTTTGGAAGAGAAAGAATTAGAAAGCATCAAGTGCTGCAGAAAGCTGTTAGCTGTTTTGAACTAACAAAGAGGAAACAAACCTCCACTTATCTTTCCATGGGTCATAGCACTCTACAGCTGTGTAGAGAGCTGTGCTGGAGTCTGGAGTTACTAGAGAGTCCAAGTACCAGCCTCCCACTGCGTAAATACAGCCTTCACAGGCCACTGCACTGAAGTGCCTTCTGTGCTGTGGATATGACAGATGGCGACACTTTTCATTAGTGTTATATAAACGATGGAAAAAGACAAGGCAAGAGGAATTCGCTGGGGCTAAGACAAACAGGCAGACTGGCCACCTGCTTAAGACTCAAACTGGGAGACTGCTTACTTTTATCAGAGGAGATGTGGTGACCCACGTATGAGTAAAGGGATTGTATCGAAAGGAAGCCATGCTAAACTCCCAGCCTCTCTTCATACGCTCCCTGTAACCTCCTATGACATACAAGTAGTTGTAAAGCACCACTGTTGTAATACACCACTTATCAGCCCGAAAGGGAAGCTCTGTAAGTGGACACCAATCTCCACTGTCCTCTGATCCTTGCAGGGTGAATATGTGTCGTGCATGTTCTGTTTCTGGATCCTTCCAAGAACTCAGGTTCTCTTTCCGTAGGGTGCAGAGGTGTCGGTCTCCTCGAGTCCTCAAGTGGACAGCTTCTTCCCTCTCCTCTTCATTCAGGCACCTGAGGTATAAATCGATTTTAGTGAAAGACAAACATTTAAAATTGGGGAATTGCCTCCCCCTTTCTTTAATCGGTAAGATTAACGTTGTTAAAATGAACATCTTACCAAAATTTTTATTTTTATTTCAGTCAATTCCCTTATTTTTGCCGAAACATTTTTTTGTTTCACTGGACAAGATTATTGGTTCTTTCATTTGGGGAGGGAAGCCACCTAGGGTCTCTAAAACTTTGCTGCAGCGATGCAGATTTAGTGGAGGACTTGCATTACCTAATTTTTTAGTCTATTACTGGGCCGCTCACATCCATAAACTTTGCTACTGGCTAAAATCTTCTGGTTCCTCGTGGTGTAAATTGGAGCTATCATCATGTAAGGGCTCTTCTTTACCGGCTTTGCTCTATTCCTCTTTACCCGTGAGACCCTCTCTGTACACTGATAATCAGGTGGTTCTTAACACACTCAAAATCTGGTTTCAGTTTAGACGTCACTTTAATTTTGTAATGCCGTCTTCCTCGGGTCCTCTAAGCGACAACCATTTGTTTCCCCCTTCACTTTTGGACTCGACATTTTCAGTGTGGTGTGACAAGGGTATAAAACAGTTCAAACATTTATATGTGGATGGTGTTTTCGATAGTTTTCCCAACTTGTCTTCTCGTTACAATCTCCCTGTTACCCATTTGTTTCGCTATTTTCAAATTCGAAATTTTGTTGCTAAGTGTTTCCCAAATTTCCCCTCTTTGCCTCCAGAACAGCAGTGGGAAACTACGTTATCATTTATTCCTCATCACAGAGGAACCATTTCGAAACTCTATGATGCTATTCTGTCTTTTAGTAACCACTCTAATGTTAAGCTTAAGCGTACATGGGAAGAAGAACTGGGATTTCGAATACATGAGGAGTCTTGGGAACAGGCTATAGCGAGAGTACGATCTTCCACCTCCTGTGCTCGTCTTGGACTTATTCAATTTAAGGTCATACACAGGGTGCATTTCTCTAAGTCTAGACTTTCTGAATTGTATCCAGAAGTGGAAAATAAATGTGATAAATGCCATGGTTCTCCTTGTCACCTTAGCCACATGTTTTTCTGTGCCCTGAGCTACAAGGTTTCTGGACAAGGTATTTTGCTATTATGTCAACTGTTCTTGGGGTAACTCTTCATCCTTGTCCTTTGATTGCTGTATTTGGGATTCCTGCTCGCTCACTTACACTTGATTCCACACAAAGGGATATTATAGCCTTCACATCCCTATTAGCGAGACGTCTAATATTGTTGCATTGGAAGTCTGTTAAGTGTCCTACTATTTCCCGGTGGCTTAAAGATGTCATGTTTTTTTTAAAACTTGAAAAAATTAAATATACGTTGAGAGGTTGCACAGCCAAATTTTTTCACAAGTGGCAACCCTTTATCTCTTATTTTGCTAGTCTAGAGGTATTGCCTGTTTAAATCTACTTTTGTTACTGTTATATTCCTCTAATATGTTTGATGGTTGTGTTGATCTGTGTGGGACTGGGGGGGGGGGGCGTTGTGTTTTGTTTTTTTGTTTTTTTTTGTTTTTCTTTTCATATATATATATATATATATATATGTGTGTTAATTAGGAAAATTAAGAAAGGTTGATTGTATTTCGGTAACTGCAAGTACTGTTTTCTTTTTTCAATAAAAATATTTTCAAAAAAAAAAAAAAATTGGGGAATTGAAACTTTGCTTACCTGATGATGTCTGGGAGCTCCAGCAGGTTTCTACTCAAGTAAGTCAGTACTGTCATCTTCAGTTCCACACAAAAGATCTCATGAGCAAGACTCAGGTATGACAAACAGTTAGATGGGCTGAGCTCATCTGTCAGGACTGACAGGCACTTTGAGAGGAAGGCATCTGCTAGAAGATAGTTGCTTACCTCCAGAGACAGAAAGAGAAATATAAGAAATCATGATGTCACTCCTAGGAATTTGAATTACTAGCCAAGGAGGTTTATATATGAAGCTGTACCTTTATATGTGCTCCCAACTCATTTTGGGGAACTTTGAAATTATTATTGAAGGAAAACTCAAGCAGATTGCGGAAGATGGAAGAGGACACGTGATCCATGTGGATGAGGCTCTCAGAGGTCTCTCTCATGCTGGACTGGGACAAAGCTCGGAAGTACTCACTGCACTCTGAAAGTCTTTGTAGGTTCACCTTTGAAATAAATTATTAAACCAAGTTTTTTAAACGGCCTTTTGTTAACCAGTATGACTGGAAATCTCACACTTTGCTTAATACTCACAAGAAATGCATGTGGGCTGGTTTGGACTGTAACCTTGGTTTCATCACCATCTCCAAGGAGATATGTGCGGAGCGCTTCATTAGTCTTCCATTCCTCTGAGTCTGTTTGGCATAATGCTCTGTCTGTGACAGCTGAGGACGCTATCCAGTTGTTGACTATTGGAAAAGCATCCAAAATCCTTCTAAGAATGCATTTCAGCCAAAAGCTTACCCACTCAAAAAGTATCATAACGTATTGCCTGAGATTATTCATCTGAATGACAGAGCGCTGTCTGGATCAAAGTTGCACCTCACTGTAATTCAGAAATGAAATGCAGGTCCTCCATATAAGGTAAGCCAGGCCCGCTGAAGAATTCCAACAACCTCTGCACAATGGAAAAATAGAAGCATTTTAGTCCATGTGCTGTCAGCTGCTCTCCATTTCCCTGCCTCAGCTCTCACAGTCACGTGACCTTTAACGACGTAAACGCCAAAACGTCAGGGTCCGATTTCGTACTGCTTGGCGCTCTAATAAGCACGGCGAATAAAATGCTAGAAAACGTTTCTTGCCCTGCAGCAGACCAGGTGGACTCAGAAGGGTCTCTTAATCTTAGAGCAGTGCAAGTCTTTCTGCCTGATCTATTCTTGGATCACAGAGGTGGGATAGTGTTCAGTCTGAACATCATCGGTCACTCAAATTACTTTGTAGTTAGCTTACCTTCACATCTCTGTAAAACTTATCTAGACATGAAATAAAGCTTTAGCAGCTGAAAGATTTAAGACGAGCTTTTAAGCACATGTGTTTATTCGCATTTAAACTGAATTTGTTTAACAGAATAAAATTACAGAAAAGATGTTCCTTAAAAACAAAAACAGTCACAGGTAGTTAATGAGTAAACTTTCAAGTTTCGTCTTTGTGTAAAACATTGTTTTAGAAACTTTGATGTCAAATTGATGTACATTTATTCAAATATAGAACAAAGTCAAAATAAATAAAAGCATGTCAAAAAAAGCACTTCACATTCAAATGGGCTACAGTAATTGACTGTAACACGTTTTTATTATTGGTGAAACGTGCACAAATATTCCAATTTTTTTAATATTTTCTAAAAGATTGGTATATTTGGTAAGAATGTCACATATTTGAAGCAGCAGGTATAGAAGCAATTTTAAAGAAGTGGAAACAAAACAGAGTCAAATGGGCAGGTAGTTAGTGCAGCAGAAATGCACTGTAATAACAGTTATCTTAATTAGTGACAAGGACAAAAAAAAAGAAAAAAAAAGACTGACATAAATGCTGTAAGCCATTTTTCATACATGAACTCTGCATGTTGCTTTAAGTTGCAAAATGCTGATGCAGTACATAAGAGAGCCTGTTTCAGATGTGTTCTCATTATGGGAAAAGCTTTGTGCAAGTAAGGAGAGGGTGCTGTCTGGATAAAGCATGCAGGAGTTGCTATACACCACTACCACTTGCGCAATTCTCACATCAGTGCGATAGGACACAAAGTAAACTTTCTGCTTTGAATGTCCAAAACAGATCAGCGCTCCAGTTCATGTGTGAAAACAGCTTTACACTTTCTAATAGTTAAACTGACAGTATTTTTTTCTACAGTGATGAAAATTTATGCAAACTGTATATTTTTAAAAAAGTCCTTACATAATAATTTGCTAAATGTAGGCAAGTTTGTAATGTAACAGTTAAAGAATAACTGGTGTGGAATATTTTTAAATTGTTTAAGGAAAAGGTTATGAAGCATGGAGTGATTAGGTAATAAGGGTCTCAGTTATTCCCTCACTGAATAGTCAGAATCAGCCCTTTACGATGAAAACTATGCACCCTATGAACATCACAAGGGTGAGGTAGATCTTTTACACAAATGCATCCCATGATAAAAGTGTCTAATAATGGTCCAAGGAAGTGAAGTGCATCTAACAAGTGTTTATATGAAAGAAAACCAGTTGTGAATCAACTGTGGCCCCCAAAATGATGACAACATTTCACAATAAGGGTATTCATGAGTAAAATAGAATGCCTGAGGTGCAGAGGCTCTTTTTTGTCATTTCAGCTTAAGCAGACAGGCATAGTTCCAACACAATGTAGGGGGCAAGCTTGAAGAATGATAACGACAAACAAATGAGACAGTACATTTTGATTAACAAGCTGGATCTCAGCTGAAGAGCTTCTTTTGCTTGAAGTAGGCATCAAAACGACACTGGGCGTAGTCCTGCAAGACAATGTGGTTTATTACAAAAAATATAAATGTGTGACTTGCGCTACACTAAAAGAGAATAATAACAACAGTAATAAGAATCAAACACTCCTTACCATGTATCCAAACTCAATCTTGGATATCTTAGCTTGTATGATGGACCAGACCCCCCAGAGGAAGTGTGATGCTAATGCATATCTACAATTAAAAAAAACAAACAAACAGAAAATCCAGTGATCTGTTGATCTGCTGTAACTTGTTCTAATTGATCGTCAGCACTGCTGTAAAATCTATTTAAGGCTGTTTTACCTGTTTGCTTCAATTATTAAATCTTCTTCAATTTGTGTCTGGTCCACAGCAACGTTAGTGTCTTTGTGCTGTTCTGCCAAATAACTTCTAATAAAAAGAAGCTGAAATTTAAAAAAAAGTTACAAGTTAGTGAGTGTGGCTAAACTTCCAGCTGTTTCTGATTTAACTGATTTGATTTGACTGCATGTGCAGCATTTGATCTCGCTATTAAACATAAAAATGTATGAAGTTTCACCATTAGATGGCACTGCATAACCAGTCTATCCCATCAAGGGAGATGACTTCAAAGTTTTGGTTTGAACATCATGGTTTTATTTTTCCAAGGAAAGATTAGTAGAAAATTTTCTAACTAGCTTTATATCAAAACAATAAATAAGGAATCAGATCCTAAATGTACTGAAGAGAAAGAAAAACAAATATAGTGAAGCTGTGCGAGTATTAAATCAAGACAAAACACAGCACAATATTTGTGTCATTAATTGAATGCATCTATTAAAAGTGAATCCAGGACTTACTGTCAAAAATCAACCAGTGTGCGTATACATATCTCCAAGTAAATGTTTCAAATCCAAGTTTTCAACTTACCTTCTATATTATTACAACTTCTATATTCATAATTACAATGCAGCATGTCAGGAGTAACTAATTTAAGCAGTGTTAAAAATGCAGCTCAATTTGAATACTCTTTATTTGGCGCTAGTGTTTTTTCGGACTGACCTGCTGCTCTCTGGTTGGATAGTTCTCTGGTGTGGCTTTGTAGAAAGGCCACTCATTGTAGGTGTAGTCGTACATCCACTCACAGAAATGGTTGCCAAAGTCAAAACCCCTACAAAAAGGAACACATTGTGTTATTTACCTTCACGTACAGGTGGCACAATTATTTGATTGCTAAATCAAGACAACATTCCCCTTACACATTACCTGTAGTTGTAACTGCTGTATTCAAAGTCTATGAGCATGAGTTTTTCCGCTGAGGAATGCTTTCCGTCTTCCAGCATGAGGATGTTGCCTGCAGCAACAAAACAAGAAGTGAGGCTTTAGCTTAACAAAATGAAGTAGTAGCATTTACTACCAGACTGGTCTTCCAATATTACATTTCTTTTGACATTATAAAAAACTTTAATGTGAAATAACTTATAGTTTGAATCATAATTAAATGATAAATCTTCATTGTATAATGCAAAAAAAAAAAAAGAATCCAAATGTCCTTTTTGCCCTTAATTCTAATACTGAAAACATTAAAGCATACATTGATAATTTACAGTAAATTGTGCCTTTAGCATCTTGGCACAAGCTTTTTTTGTTGGCTTTGCAAAGACTGTCCTAAAGAGATGAACTGAAATTTTCACAGTTTGGTGTAGAAGAACTCAACTGGTCTGCACAGAGTGCCGATGTCACACCTTTAAGATGACATGGAACAGTTTTTCTGAAGCAAGTTTATCAGCTGTCAGCTTATGTGTATCAAACCCTGAAAATGCTTTTATAGCTGCAGAGCTATGACTATAGCTGAACATGAGCTGTCCCTATTAAAAACTACAACCCAGCTTGCTCTTGACTTATATAATGCACAGCTTTCGTAAGAATTGTGACAGTGAAACCAGAGGGTGGGATCTATCGGACCACACCAGAGGCGTAATGATAGGCGGAGCTATGACTGGATGGATGGATGGAAGATTTTACCTTCTTGGACATCATTGTGGCAAAACACCACTGGTGAGGGAGTTGCTGCGAGCAAAGCACTGTTGTGGAGACATGGGGCAAGAAAAACCAAGTAGGTGATGAAAGAAAAAGAGAGAAACTTGAACACACAAATCTTAGTGATGGATATGCAGCTAGTGCATTTTATGCAATATAACACTACAATTTAGAACTTCCATGAGAAAAGTGTAGACATCCTAATCTACCAGAATTAAACTTAAGCAATAGCACACAATAAGTGAATAAACTGTGTCAATATTGCACCGTAAGATAAACTGAACTAATCAACAGTTATTACAGGTCCACTCTTATTTGTTGACAGCATGGATAGAGCACTGTACAAAAGTCAGGGGTTACTAATACTACGATTTAGCACAATTATTTCTGCTATTCAGCCAGGATATGTAAAGATATTAAATGTGATAAACACTAAGCCATTCAAACCAAGTAAAAATTTACAAATCAATACTCTTGTACAAAAGCGAAAACTCCAAAATAACGTCAGTGACAACAGCAGTCGATTATATAACTGACACTTTGATCACTAGTAATTCCTGACCATAGAGAGAAGGCCAAACTGCCTAGAACAAGCTAAGATAACAGTACCCTGTAGTCACATACGCAACATGCTGTGACAGATACGCTTTCAACTCAGATAAATCTGAAGGCTCAAGTTCCTTGCAGCAGACAGCAACTACATATGTGAAACCAGTACATATAAACACGACAATAAACACTGGTCTGATTCTCTAGCTGTTCTAAGGTCAGACTACCCAGACAACTCAGCAAGTGAACTTGTGGAAGCACTGGGACAAAGGTCACCTATCAGATGGAAGAATGAATTCCAAAGATTACATTTATGTAAGTAACGTAAGCAGAGCTACAATCCTTCCAGCTTTGAATAATGCAGCAAACCTTTTCACATAAAGACTCATTTTAGTGTAGGGCTGTGCGATATGACCAAAATCTCATATCCCGATATAAGAATTCTATCGTTCCGATAACGATATAAATCACAAAAATGTAACATTTTCTGTAAATTCTGTGAATCTCGGGCAGCTCGACTTGCAGGAAGTGTTTCCAGCTGCGCATGTAGCTGGAGTCGAGTGTTTTAACCGATGCATGAAACTATACATTTTTAGACATAAGTTGTAACGGCCGCCGTTTTCTTTGTGAGTATTTATTACACGGCGTGCTGCGGGGAAAAGCCTGTTCTAACGTTTGAGTCTAAGGTTTATTTTTTCGCACCTGACGGCTCTTTTTTACTTCTCATCTGTAAACACTCTGCATCTTTCACGTGATTCAGGTTTTTTTTTTAAAGTCTCAACAGGATCTTGAGCTTTATTGTGAAAGGTTTATGTGGAAAATAAACAAGTGGACACACGATGCTGTTACCTTCGTTGTTGCTAACGACAACGCATGAAAACAGGCGCTTGTCTGTCCGTAGTGTGGTTATATTAAATATAAGAGAAAGAGAGAACTTTAAGAAATTAATATAGCCACTACAGTGACCGTCAAAACGATGAAAAAATATTGCCGTAAAGAGTTTATTTTGCGACACCACGAAACAAACAATAGCGTAAAATGAAAAGATAGACGTTTTTATATCATCATCCGATATATATCGTTATATCGAACAGCCCTATTTTAGTGGTAACCTTACTTGTCTGGTGGTGAGGATACATGACAGTTTTCTAAATGTCTCTAACAACACTGACAATCATTGATTTATACAATCACCTAAAACTTTATTGATTTAACAAAACTCATTTTCAAAGTCTTGATGTTGGCATGGTTACCTTATGGCCTCACCAGCAAACAGAAAGTCAGCACAAACTGTTTAGCTGCTAAATCTCTCTCCAATGCGTGACTCATACCCACTTTGTGAAGTTTTTGTTTGCGTTCCTGTATGAAAATTCGAGCATGTAATATGAGACGGCTCTGATAAGAGATCTAGCAGTTGGCTAGAGCAATGCAAATTACATCATTGTTCACATAAACATATTAAAGCAGGAGCTTTGTACTGTTTGTACTCTCTTCCTGACACTAGTGTGAGAGTCAGGAGGGGACTCACTGATTTGTCTTCTTCTCAATCTAAAGCTTTGTTTAAACTGTGTCCAAAAAGACAGTATACAGAATCTAGAGCCTGCGTTCCAACTCACCGGAGGCTTCTCAGTTCAGCAGGAAGGTCCAGTTTCATCAGCTTGTTGTACTTCTTCACATGTGCCTCACGAACAAAACTAATATTCATCACTTGTTCCATGTATCTAAAAACACCACAGACAGAGTATCTTTAACTGTGACTAAGTTACAGTTTGAGCAGTAGAGAGATAACATTCACATGTACTTACTTATCGATGGTCCCAAACAGCCACTTAGGCTTTTTGTTAAAGGGCATAACCATGTTATGGAAACGGGCCAGCTTCGTGGCAATCTCAGCGGAGATGGCTGGGTCCGAAAGCTGACTGGTGCGCATGCGAGTATTCTTGGAAAACAGAAACACAGCAAAATCTCTTATCACATGGTTTAAAAGACAAACAAAACAAACTGATGGGAATGACTCCAGCAGAAAGCAGCATAAACTCACTGTGTGTATGAATATACTGTGTGTAAACACTGGGGTACATCATACCGGAAGGTACTGTTCCAAGCGTCCCTGGGGGAAGATGCCATAAAGTTTTGGGCCTAAAGCTCGTTCAGCCAGGATGGCAAACATCACACTCTCTAGTACCAAAGAGTCCACTCCCTATACCACAGAGACACATGTGATGGAAGACACACTTACATGAGAATTAATGGCATTTATAGCATATACTGACATCAATAAAGGGGTGCAATCTTCTCTTTAAAATACCCGAATGATACTCTCAGCCACAGACATTAGATGCAACTTCTTGACATACGCGACAGACTAACCTGTAAGATGGCACCATAAACCCTGAGGAGCACCTGGCGAGGTTCGTCTTCCACACATTGCACGTGGTCGGGCAAACTACACAGGTACAGCAGATTACTCAGTCCACCGCTGCAAACAAAAACAACAGTGTTATAACAGCTAGGCCAAGCTAGAAATATCTCTCTCTAATCGAGATTGGAAACCATAAAAAATGTAAGCCAAAAGACAAGGCCACTCAAAAATACTCTTAAGGGTAAATCGATGATTGTTGGGTGCAAATTTACGATGAAATCACTGTATGACTCGTTTTAAGTATTATATCTTAAGCCTTAAAAACAGTAAACAGCACAAGCTTCTTTAGATCAGCCGGAGAGACTCCCTACTGTAGTTGGTTGGTGTTGGCACATGACCCTTCAAATTTGGACTGTTTCAGTCAGTGTAAACCTCTCACACTGAGAATAGTCTTAATTTTTTAAATAAAATCACATGAAAAGATGACCCAGGTTCATTTTCCTTTTGTTTCTTCTTCACTCACGATGAGCTTACACACCACTCCATATAGTTAAGTTACTGTGTCTAAAGTCCCATCTTTACCACCAACGGGTCGCAGCAAATGGCTGCTGGAGGTTTCTTCCTCTTAAAAGGGAGGTTTTCCTTCCCACTGTTGCCAAGTGCTTGCTCAAAGGGGATCGTTCTGATTATTGGGGTTTCTTCAGTATTATTGTAGTGTCTTGACCTTACAATATAAAGCACCTTGAGCCTGTATAAAAAAAAACTGAAGTGAATTACAGTAATGTTGATAATTTGGAGGTCAAGACTGTTGGATGAACGTAGAAAACACTGGGTATGCTATCATTTTGAACCTGCAAACCAGTGTGGGAGGAAAACAAACAAACAAATGTCAGCTCAGAATAAGCCCACAGCTGACCTGCCACTTTTCCAACACTCACAGCGTCATAAGTTGTCTGACAGCGAGATAAGTAAACACTAAGGAGAGGTGGGTGTCCCTGCAGCTGACCCAACGTAGCAGAAACCATCAAGGATCTTGGATCTTATCGTCGCTTTACTTGAAACCATGAACACAAACATACTGGTTCCTACAGATTAGTATGTTTTAAAAAACGACTAATAATAATACCCTATCATTTAAATGAAGACATTATTGTGTTTTATTATCCACCGTACTGCTATAACTTTTAAGAATTTTACCTGACAATGCTGATTTGAAAATCAGCATCTTCAATGGTCTTCCACGACCCCGACAGAAAGTCTCGGCACCAATTTATGGCCTTATCCCTGGTGTCCCGGTCGACCTCTTCGCTTCTCCCATCCCGGAAGGACTCTGCCTCCGAGTCGTCATCACAGTTGGCCCCTAATAGCGGACTATGAGTCCTTAGGTGTCTCTGGTTTAGAACAAGCGTGCTCTCCACTTGCTTCTTCACAACCGGAGTATCTGTTTCTTCTGTAGTGACTGTGGCAATGCTGGTGCTGTAATTCTCCGGCCCTGAACTATTTTCTTTGCCTAAACCCGCTTCGCCGCAACTGCTTGCTACACTTCGGCTGGGCTGCATGTTGAATTTCCGGGCGGACAGTGAAGGAATAGCAGGGTGAAATGTCGGTCTGAGGCGACAGGAGGGGCTCGCTGACACACGCAGTCCGCCTGTAAAGCTGCTTAACCGGAAGAGCCGACCATAACTGGATATTATGAACCGCATGGGAGGCGGCTGACAGCGTAACCGTAATATATTCAGATTGCTGTAAACTCATTACGCAGACAACGTACCAGTGGATTGATGAGCCGAGATGAAGAATTCGACGTCCAATCAAAATTCGAGAGCGAGTTCACACACAAATCTCATTGGTCGTTGCTGGCAGTAGCTTCCTACGTCACGTTCGCTGAAGGTTTCTGGGAAATGAAGTTTTTATTTGTAATTGACTGTGGCGCATATCTTTGAATTCATTGAGTGCAATGAATAATATGATTTCAGAGTGTATTCGCTGATATTATTTGGCAGGAATGTGGGAGAAAAAGGTCTAGTTACTCTTTGCTTGCGTCTTATTCAACATAAAACTGAGTTTTAAAACTTTTTCAAGTGTGGGTTGTTTTCAATTGCCCACAGTAGTACGATGAAGCTTATTCTTTCTTGCAATCCCTTAAAATGAATATACTCTGTCTATTGTGAGCAGGTAAGTTAAAGAGCCGGTATCTAACTTTTCATTTAGTTGAAAGCAAAATTTTTATTTGCAGACGCCCAAACAGAAAGGGCTATGCATTATTACTCTTACCTTATAATTAAAGTAGGAACATTTATGTTTACACTTTCTTAATTTTACTTGAAGTACTTTATATTGATTACACTAAAATGAGGAGGCTATTCTAACTAACTGACTATGCCACTGTTTATGTGTTTGTTGGATTTGAGAAAAACAAATTTTAACAGAGGTGCAGTGGGAGTTTGTGTTTTCTCTTTGCCAGTGAATTAGCCAAGTGCATAGAAATGAACACTTTCAGTGTCACTGAAAATCATTCATAGAAGCCATGTAATCGTACAGCAAGCATTAGGACATCTACTAAACTGAACAACTTTTTGTTGTTCCTTTATATCCTTCACTGTTAGACTTTTCATCGCCACTTTACGGTAACATACTGGCGTCACTGTTGCCAGCGTCATACCGTGACGCCGTGTTACGGTAGCTTACTGTTCTGCAGGATGATACCGTTTTTTGCTGGTGTGGTATAATACTCTTGGACAAATTATGGTAACGCACCGTAGCCTTACCGTTATGTCGTTATGTCGTAAATTACGTCAACAAAGTAACATCATACTGTGATTAAAAAATTGGTATACTACCGTTTATTCCCGGTATGTCACTGTAAGCCCACTGCAAGGTAATAAACTGCAATATATTAACCAGTAACTTACCGTCATCACGCATCATCAGTACCAAAAATATTCATCTTTGCTAGAGGATACTGTGTCCCAACAGGTGGTCATACTGTTTAACAGGTCGTAATTTTACCGTAATTTCAGTTAACAGTAACATACTGTAAGAGACTGGAGGGTTCCAAAAAAATTGGATAGATAGATAGATAGATAGATAGATAGATAGATAGATAGATAGATAGATAGATAGATAGATAGATAGATAGATAGATAGATACACACACACAAATATATAATTTATGTGCTTTACACCACTTTATTTATTATCACTGATTTTTCCCTGCTGAAATACACATTTCCAAAATCAAAAACTGAAAAGAACTGGAAACATTTTCATTGAGGAAGCACTTGTTTTTACTAAACCATGTAATACATTATTTTCTCAGATGGTTGTACAAACAATAACGATATTATGTCATATCCATATCATGGCAGACAACATATGCTCAAGTGATGAGTTTTCTTAGTTATATTTTGTAGGGTCTTAAACCTACAGTGTGAAGTGCCTTGACAATCATTTTGTTGCCACCATACAAATAAACTGAATTGTAATGAATATAATATCAAGCCCCACACTTCTGCCTTTGTCCAAAATACTGGCTCACACCACCAAATCAATGTACAAAGCCAGGTCCACAAGGACATGGATGATCGTGTGTGGTGTGAATGAACTTGACTGACCTGCACTGAACCCTGATCTTGCTTTGTGGACTGAGTTCATTGATTTGTAGGGTGAGCCAATACGTGTGACAATAAAAGTGTAAGTAGCTGAAATAATTTTTAACAAACGGGTAAAAGAAGGAAAAAATATCAAAACTGTTGCACTCAAAAAACCTATTGGACAGAGACAGCGTCTTGCAAGATGGCAAGAGAGCTTGTCTTCATTGTTGTTCGTCTTGTGTAAATGTCCAGAAAGCATGGGCCATGGATCATCTGTGGAGACACGGGTAACAACACATTGGTCACTTAAATTATACAAGAAATTCACTAAAAATGGCAAAAACAGTTACCTAATTTGAAGTTCTCCACTCAAATTCCGTAAGCCGCTGGAGGAAAGTTCTGACATGAGGGTTAATGTGAACAACCTTTCGCTTCACAGTGGTCCCAGTCTTTCTGCTTGTCCCAACCTTGGAGGTACATTTTGTTCCCTCTTCAGGGTTTATCCTTACAAAAAACCTTGCACACGCTGACTCCTGGTATTCCAGGTTCAATACATAGAATGAACCAAAGAAGACTGACATTGCATCAGCAAAGGTGTTCTCTTTGTCCAGCTCAACAATTACACGCCCCTCTGCACTCACCATCCAGCAGGTGGCAATTACATAAATTTGAGCTAGCAAAACAGAGACTGGATACCTGTGTCCACGAAAAGCTCCTGTGCCAAACAGAAATTGTAATATGGTCTAATCAGCTCTATTTCATAAATGACTTCTTACCAAGCATAATCAGCCTTGGAGTGCCTGGCAGGTTGCTCTCTGCTTCAAGGGACATCCTGGTAGATGTTTCCTGCCAGAAAAAGGACCAAGACATTTTATGTAACAAATAAAAAAATATAACAGGACAGCAAGCAACAGCATTAAACCTAGAGCTGTATGAAAAAAGCTTACATCTGCTAAGACAAAGAGGGAGTCTTCATCTTCCTTGTAATACTTCATCATGAGAAGTATGGCTGCTGTGCCAACCTTGTTGTTGGTCAAAACTCCCTCACTTTCTATCTGCTGGATGAGTGTCCTTATACCAAGGTTCAATCTGAGCTTCTGGGTGGAGAAATAGTTAACAATCCTTCTGCCTTTGGTTATGAGGGCCTGACCTAAGCGCTCACTGATATCGATGCCTGTGAGTTTGTGAAAGTGGTTTGAAAGACCTTTCTGAGTAAACAAGAATGGCCACTGCTCCTGAATTTCAGCTACTGAAAGTGAGGGACAACTGTTGATAAGCTGCCGCTGAGAAATATATGTGAGGCACATGAAGTCATCCACATCAGGTCTCTCCAAAGCTCCAGGTCCTTCTGAATTAAAAATTGTTAACAAGATGTCTTTCTTTTCCTCTAAAGAAGCTGACGTTTCCCCCTCAGGAAGTTCAACTGGCTGCCAATGAATACAGCCATAGCTATCCACAAGGCATCTAACTTTTTATGTGAGGTTGCATTACTGTTGGGACTGCAGTCTTCCTCATTCCTGGTTCTCTTTGTTTGACGAAGTCTATGTGTTGTATTATCTCGATTAACATGTTCAACTCTAGATTTGATGCTTCTTAGTAGTGAATAATGTCCACAACCCAGTCTTTCTCCCTTTTCAGTAAAATCTGCAAATGTTTGAGGGTATCTGTTTACAATGATCTTAGCAACCTCTTCACAAGATGCACGTTTAGGTGTTTCTGCAGTTAACTTGCATGGCCTCCACAACAATTCTAACCATACTTCTGTCCTCTGGATGACCTCTGTCTCCTCTTGTCATTGCATTCGACAGTTGGAGTGGAAATCATTCCCAAGCTCCAGAGTAATGGTGTCATTCAAATTCGTTGGTCTGCCATCTAAAAAAAAGAGAGATGGTGTTAGATTCAGTGTCTACTTTTGTTACAGCTGCAAAGATGCTGAAATTCCTCTATGATGCTCTGTATAGTGCTGGTTGGCAAGAGCATTTTAGCCTGCATTTTTAAATGACATAAAGTCAACTGTCTTCTAATAGATTAACTATGTCCTGTCCTTGCATTATGGCAAATCCCCCAATTTCTTGTTGCCTTGACTGCTGAAGTGTCTACTTATGTTTTTGAGAAATATGGCTGGAAAATGATGTTCGGACACTGAAGTATTTAGAGCAACCTTCAAATGGACATAATACTTCCCCCCCATCTTTGATATGAAATCTGAGAGAGGCACAAAGAGCTGTGAAGTTTTGTGCAACATACCCACATCCAGGAACATGAACACACCAGTGAACTTATAAAACTCCTCCTTAGTCGTCTCCCTTCTTGTTCTGTGATTCCTAGGCATATGTGAATGAAGGCAGAAAATGTTCTGAAAGTGGCAGGACAGTTCTCAGCTCCACAAGAAAACCTATAGTTACCTACATGTTTGTGGCTTTTAACATGCAAACTGAACAATATATATTTGCGTGCACTGAAGCCACAAAATTTAGAAATACACATAGTTGCAAAAAGTTCAGTGACCAATTACCTTTCCTAAATGACATATGCAATGCAAATAGTAAGAGTATTGTCAATAGGGACCAATTCCCAGTTTTTACATGATCAAAATTATTCACAAAAGGCTTCAATAAACAGAAAATGTGTGCCGACAAGAGAGCAGTGCACAAAAATGAAAAGATATTTGAGCTCGACTCTTTAATGGGTTTAACATGACTTAGTCAGCACCCCGCACCGTACAGGTAGTACAAGCACACCTGAAAACACTGACCATCTAACAGCTTTAAACATTTGGGCGCAACCTCGGTAGTTCACCGATTCACCTGTTGCAAACGTCCAAGTTTTTATCAAGTCTCATAAATCCATTGGCAACTATTACCTAACTAGTCTTTTGAGTCTCCACATTCATAGATATAGACATTTTGTCTTAGCATTTGAATGAAAATATCCTGGTAGGGTAGCTTGAAAGTCAAAACAAACAGTACTAAGAACGCATTTCTGACTTCTCTCGAATAAGTGAAAAAAAAATCCAACTTTAATGTGTCCCATGTCAGTCCGTTTTAGGGAAAAAGTGTTAAGTGGTTTCATTTAATTTTGAGATACTCCCGCATGGACGAGCAATTTGGAGTCTAGCAGAGTTATCACTAATTGCATACGATCTTCAGATATAATCCAATCAACCTTGCATTTAACCCGATTGAACA